CCGGCAAATGTAGAGCTGTCAAGGCGGTTATTTCTGGCAATTGGCTGCTTTTTCATCGCTAGTGCGTAAGCTTTGTTTTGTTTAGCCCTAAAATGATTGTAAAGCTTACCTGCTACTCTTCATGACTTCGTGACAACATTTGCACGTGCAGAGAACTGATGAATGTCATGAGGTTTAGTAGAAAGCCCGCGAAAAATCACTCTTGCTTCAAAATTCGAAAGGCGCCAATCAGTGTTAACTAAATAAAGCACACGAAGATCTATAACAGTGCACTGTTTCTTTTTTCATCTATTACTTTCTTATCAGATTAGCTCACCGTAAATGCGTATTTTTTTTATGACTTCTGAGCGTTTGCAGGCGGTAATAAGTGCTCTTACAAGCAGTAAATTTTACCACTTACTGCCTGATAAGGCGAACCCTGGATATGAGGGTTTTTTACCACAATAAAGAAAAGCCAAAAAGCGAGAGTTCTGAAAAGAAACGACCCACTCAGGAAGAAGGTGTGAGTTTTAAAACGTCCACTACCAAAATGCTTAAGCGCTTTTTTTCATTTTTTACGTTGTTTTATAAATATAACATACCTTGGTTTAAGCACAATATAATTGCCAACAATATGTATTAAAGAGTCGCTTGCATTGTGCTTTCAAGTCTTGATAGTAATTCTGGTGTTATTGGACCTAGCCAACATCAACGCTTGGCTAGTAAATTTATTTTTTGGCTAGTAACATATAAGTTGTCACTAGCCACTGGGCTAGTAAGTTGAAAAGTTAGTGTCGAGCCCTGACAGCACTAATGTTTATTGTGCATCAGTCACATACCATTGTNGAATGTCATGAGGTTTAGTAGAAAGCCCGCGAAAAATCACTCTTGCTTCAAAATTCGAAAGGTGCCAGTCAGTGTTAACTAAATAAAGCACACGTAGATCTATAACAGTGCACCGTTTCTTTTTTCATCCATTACTTTCTTATCAGATTAGCTCACCGTAAATGCGTATTTTTTTTATGACTTCTGAACATTTAAAGGTAGTAAGTGCTCTTACAAGCAGTAAATTTTACCGCTTACCGCCTGATAAGGCAAACCCTGGATATGAGGGTTTTTTACCACAATAAAAAAAAGCCAAAAAGCAAGAGTTCTGAAAAGAAACGACCCACTCAGGAAGAAGGTGTGAGTCTAAAACGTCCACTGCCAAAATGCTAAAGCGCTTTTTTTCATTTTTTACATTGTTTTATAAATAGAACATACCTTGGTTTAAGTACAATATAATTGCCAACAATATGTATTAAAGAGTTGCTTGCATTGTGCTTTCAAGTCTTGATAGTAATTCTGGTGTTATTGGACCTAGCCAACATCAACGCTTGGCTAGTAAATTTATTTTTTGGCTAGTAACATATAAGTTGTCACTAGCCACTGGGCTAGTAAGTTGAAAAGTTAGTGTAGAGCCCTGACAGCACTAATGTTTATTGTGCATCAGTCACATACCATTGTAAAAACAGACTTCAAAATCTGCATGTGGAGAATTTTCCATCAGCATACATTTTGCATGTTTGGAATACATGGTCACCTAAAAAATAATAAATTATATTAAATAAATTAGCAATGAATTACAAGTTATTGGTTAATCCTTAATAACAAATCTCTTTACATACTTGCACTTGTAAAAAATTATAGCACAAAAATTTGAAGAAGGGAACTTTCTTGTCAGAGTAGGTGGTTGATTTTACCATTTCATTCTAAATATAAGAATACCCTTACTAGCAGAGTTCCCTCCACTAGCGACTTGGGCGTTAAGGGAAGGAAAAATTGCTACATGTACAGTTGTAGAGAGCTTATGTCACTGTTGGTAGAGGTTCAACGATACTGTCATCCTTACCTTTGGTGTCTTTTTGCGCACAAGATGAACAAATCCAGTGGCATATTGGTACTTCTTCCAGTATTTGGATGGCAAGTTAGAGAACAGATATGTGGAAGTCGATTCACACCCAGCAGGAGGTAAGGGAGGTTGTAACGACAGAGGAATGCCTGACTTGCCATTAGGCTGATACACAGATATCTTCATCCCATTCTGAGATATCCGCAGAACCTCAAAAACCCTATCTTGACCATTCTTGTGATGAAAAAACTCCAGACAAACTTCACCATCATCAGTGATACTAACAACTGCATTTCTGGTCTTCTGCCGTATGGGTCTGAGCCTCGTGGAGTTCAAAGGTTCCACAATGTCGCCCAGAGACTTAGATCTTGATGTCTCTGATTTGCTTTTGCAGTTTCTCTTTTGCTGCTCAGAACCTGTCTGTGTGGCTGGCAAGCCACCAGAACTATCTTCTTGTACATGGGCAAAGTCTAATCCGGAATCTTTAGTGACACTGTTGCTGCCACGTCGACGATGTTGTCGGTAATCTCCTGTCTCTTTGCAACCAGACTTACTGACCTCAGCAGATCGCTGTTTGCTAAAGCTGTGATTGCTGAGATCAGAAGCTACGGTTTGTTGATCCTTGTCTTGACGGCACAGGTTTGTCTCTGCGCTACTGAATCCACTGCTGCTTGTGTTTGTCCTACTGGTTGCATTCTTAAGAAAGTCTCCCAGTGTATTTCCGCATGAGCTGCCATATTTGCTGGCATTATAATTCCTAGAAGAAAACATAATAACACTGTCTTTATTCTTCATCCACTTTCAACTCCCAGGGGTACAACTCCCATAAAAAACGGACGAGGGAGCTTGTCATACCTTTTAGGGATTAAAAAAAACGGTTTTGGTACCTCTAGGGAGTTCAGCCTCGCAAGCTCCACAGTGGGAACTATCACAGTACCTTTAAGAGTATTGAGTCGCATAAAAGTGACAGGAGATATATGACAATCAACTGAGTCTTCATCACTATTAAAAATTATGGAAGTGGCAGTAAATGTGTTGTTTTAGAATTGGTATCAAGCCACGCCCACAAAACAGGATCTTAGTACCTCTAGGGGTTCTTTTCAAAATTTCTGACATGTGCCCATCCTTTTTATATGGAAGTCCCCGCCCCCCTGAACCAAAGCAAGTAGTTAGTAGTTACTCACTTGAATTTTGCGATAAGATTTCTTTCACCATTGGAAGCTTCCAAGTCTTTTGGTTGTTTGCTTCTGAAGGTCGAAGACGTGATATTGGACAGCCACGATGCAGAGTTTGCAGTCTGTTTGGAGCCTGAGGATGAAGGAGGTGCCACTTCTGTACCACGAATCAGATCTTTTGAGGAACTTGTTTTTTGATCAGTTGTGCTAGTACTGTGGCTGGAATGATTAAAATAAAAATTAGTTCTCTTGAAAGAAGCACCATCAGCTGGGAAAACATATTATCACCAAAAAAACCTCTGTTGTTCTATTAGTAACCATACCTTGCTCTCTGTCTAACTGGTGGAGAAGGTGGGTGTCTACCATGTCTGGGCCACATATCGGACAGATGGTCACTTGACCGGTCAGTGAAGGCATCAATCTTAGAGCTTCCCTGTAATGCTTTGGATTTTGAATGCTCGCTGCTGTTACGAGTGGATTTTGAGGATTGACCAAAGCCTGCCGATACTGTAGCCATTGTACCTGTCCCACTGTCCAGTGACTGCTCTACAACATGCTATGAGAGAAAAATTATTTAATTGAATGCTATATGGAGCTGTTTGCATCATTGTGGTTGGTGGGAACACTACAATCTATTTCAAACAAAGTCTTTAAAGCTTTTTAAAGCCTTTAAAACCCACCTGCTCAAGCATGGTTGCCTGCAACTATTCAAAACTCCATAAATTTTCCCTGACTTTTTTCTGATAAAAAGAAAATTTCTCTGACCAAATAAACACAAAATGTCTGATATGATTTGAGCAATAGGTGTAAAAATTATTCACTTAAACATAAAAATCTACTCATAGCACGGTAACCTTTTGAATACCATTTGAATCATCTCACTTTAATTCATTTCTCTAAGTGACAACCCGATAAAATTGTCAAGCATTCTCTAAAAGGTAAATTTCAAACCTAGTAAGAATACTTAAAGCATGTGTTATTGCGTTTTCAAATTAATGACATGAAACATCTCTTTTAATCAAAATATGGCAGAATAACTTCAAATCAAATTCACTCATGGGGTTACCTTGAGAGCTAAAGCCTTGTTAACTTCTTCTTTACTGTATTCCAAATATTACCATGCTATGAGGTTTTTTGGTAACTAATAAAAGCTTTACATACCTGTGGATGATATAGCTGACTGTTTGATGAGTACTTTGTCATGCTTTCTTGCGTCATAAATGGATGATCTAAAATCCCTGTAAATACAGTTATTACTGAATTACTAAATGCGACATGTTCATTGTTCCAGAAATATTTCACACTAAATGACATCTCTAACGATTGCATTTCAAGACCCCCTTGGAGCTTAATAATCTACATTACCCTACTGACTGAAACTTGAGGGGATTTGTTCTTTCTTCTTTGGTCTTTAGAAGCAAGAGATGAGAGATGTCTTGAAATATGTTGAGCACTACACAACATGTACCTGACAATGTGATCCTGTCCCCTGGATTCTAAAAAGTACAGAAGAAAAAGAAACTTTTTACTTACAAGAGTGGAGATTCCCTTTTTGTAAAACCATTGTGTGTGCATATAACTAAGTACTAATTACCATTTTGCAGTAAATACAATAGGCGAGCTTACTTATGACAAAAGAATTGGTAGGGTATCTTCAAACATTTCGAGCTGATATAGTGATAAGTGCAGTTTATTGTGAATTCTAATCACTGAAAGAGGTACAACAGGTACAAAGAAAGCCCAGACAGCAGGATCAAAACCCACAATGCGTAACCTTGCAGTTGATATGTATGAATGCTAAGATAACATTCATTTATGTATAAACAGTAATCATATACATAAATAGTATTGTTCAAAAATGGTTTAAATATGTGGAAGAAAAAAATAATAACATAATGAAAAAAAACCTTGCAGTGCCAGAGCAAATGCTCTTCCAACTGAGTTGGAAAGCTGGTGATCCTATTGAGCTGGAAATATTTAGCACTGACTGTATTTATAATTATACTGTTGTATCTATGGTAAATAGTATATTATGAATAAGTGATTTACAGTACCTTCTTCAATAACTGACTGATGAGATCCTGAGCCTCTGATGATAGATTACTGTAAAAAAGAAGCAGAAAAAGCTACGTTCAATTTTTACTGTTTTGAATTTACAAGAAGACATTTAGTATTTGTGTGGTAATATAATATAAATGTGTTACTCAGATGGTTTCACCCAAATCGCCTGCATTCTACTTTTAAACTAGCTTGCAAAACTTGTAAGTTACATGTAACTAGAGCAAAATAGATGGCCTATAGACACTGACTAAGCCTAGCATACATGTGTGTATTTTCTTATAAGACGTTTTTATACTCACCAAGGCAAGTCATAATCAGCTAGTACTACTCTGTTGAGTGTGCTCTTGACAGCCTCAGTCTGGAAAATAAAGATCAAAAAGGTAAAGGTGGAGTATGACAGCCATATAGCTAGGGTAAATTGATATAAGTTGGTTTATGTACAGTGGAGTATGGGGAGGATATTGTAGGAACCAGCATGAAATTCATGAAACCAAGGCCAAAGAAGAACCATACATTGCAAGTGTTGAAGGATGTGAGCTGCACAAGAGATCATTTCTCCAACTCTCAGCAAGCAGGAATCAAACTGTAACATTTTCACAAGAAACTCTTGACATCTCAAAAGTCTTGAGAAACATTCACGTAAATTACGTCTAATGAGAGGGTACAAGAGTCAGCCAGAACTGTTGAAAGTCCCATGGCCAATGAGCATGAGAGCAAACTCTTGTCAACTCTCCACATCTTGTTAAATCAGGGCTTCAGAATATAAAAACAATATATCGACCAACTTACATCAAATGGAGGACTTCCCACAAGTAGAGTATAAAGCATACACCCCAGGGACCAGACATCAGACTCAAGACCATGAGGACCTCTGGTCGCTATCTCACTACAAGAGAACACAGAGGTCATTACAACTCTTCCATTGGCAACCACAATGTAATACATTTCTCCTTGTTGACTTTGTTACATTCATTGAGAATCTGATAAATACTACACCTGGGCAACCATATTTCTCCCATTGATGCTGTTTATAATCTCCCAACCTATCTACATAAGAATGGCATTTCCTTTATAAGGAGAATTCATGCTGTGATTACATGGACGCAGCTCTCAGTACAATGTGCAAAAAAAGTCCTGTCTGATAGCCCAGAGCTAGTAGACTTTCCAGTCCAGCAAGTTGATTCTGTCCAGTGAAGTTTCTTTCCAATGAAAATATTTGAAGAAATTCAAAATACAGGGGTACTGTAAGAGACGAACTTTAAGGGGGCTAGTGAGAATGATGACATACAATGCAATAAGACAAAGTCTACATATACTTTAGCAATAGTTTTACACTAAATGATGATCATATTTCTTACACAATAACCCCTGCCCAAACATACAATAAAATCGCTGGGATATTACTGACACTCACGGAGAAATGTAATTTGGTGTTCCACACATTGTGTAGTGTTTTTCATTAGGCATTGTTAGTCTTGCTGCAAGGCCAAAATCACCAATTTTCTAAGAGAAAATGAAAAGCACATAATTAATGTTAGTATAATTTCTGATGTCATGCAATGTATACATAACTATATACATGTAACTTGCAGCAAATCTTAAACTGCAATTGTAAGTCTCAAATAAACTGCCTTACACAAAATTGCTTTAGAAAAAGCCAAACAAAACTTTCCTCTGGACAAATCACAGTCCAGTAGAGTTCTTCTTACCACTTACAATCAGCTGGATAGTCTGTCAAGGGATTTATCCACTGGATAACATTGTCTACACTTTGAACAATTGGGGACAGCATAATAAGTATGTCATATCCATTACTCCACTCAATTAAGACTTACTGCATCCATTTCTCTGGTCAAAAGAATGTTTCCCAAGGTCAGGTCACGGTGAATGATGCCATGTGAGTGAAGATACAAGACTCCTTTGACAACTTGAGTCATAATGTGACGAGCTTTAGAAAAAACGAAAAAGACAACTACCAACTTAACATTAACATCCCATGCAAGTTATTCCTCAGCCTGACGTCCCTTTCCATAGTTACAACATCATACAAACGTTATCCTGTCTAATACAGAAACTCAGGCAGGTAATATTATTGGAGTTTTTAGTTGGTGAGATCTTGTGAGTTTCTTAAGTGAACCATACCCTCATTTTCACCCACTGGCCGTCCGGTTTTCTTGAGGTAGCGGTTGATCTCTTTATTGTGACACATTTCCAGGATAAGGTAGACATAACTGGCATCTTCAAAATAGTTATAGAGCTGACAAAAATAACAAATTAGCGACAATCTAAGCATGTAAATTCACAAAATAATATTAAGCAGAGATACGTACAACATCAAATGCTCTTCCCAAGATCTAGAATTTTACAGTACAACTGCTATAACCAGAACAATCGTAACAATGAAAAACAATTTAAAACATTTTGCAAAGCAGTGTGACTTGAAACTTAGTAAAATTGCAAAGTTAGTCATAAACTCATTGGTTTCTGTTTTCTAAGTGACCAAGGCAATTAAGTCTCAGTCTTTTTTCAGAAGGAAAAATTGGCAAGTATACAATACATTGTCAAAATTATATTTTCACTCCTGAT